ATGTGACAACGCTCAAGCAATGCCAAGTATGCATAACGGAGCCTTTACAAGCTGGCAGTATTTTATTCAAATTAACTGTACCGGGTACAAGTAGTCTGTCNTTTCACCGCTTTCTGTTTTTGTTTGCACATGCAAATCAGCTGATCGTTTGACACTTTTCATGAACTTACAGGAAAAAAACTCCGGACTAAATCCTGTAACTTCTGACTAGGAACAGTTGATCAGTTACTTTCTANTCTTTGCTTTCACCGCTTTCTGTTTTTGTTTGCACATGCAAATCAGCTGATCGTTTGACACTTTTCATGAACTTACAGGAAAAGAAACTCCGGACTAAAACCTGTAACTTCTGGCTATTGGAACAGACTAAAGTATTGTACCTGAATATTATTTAAACTGCAACTTGATTCTTTTGAGAATCGAGTTCGGAAAACTTTTGGTAACGATACTGCTCAACACTAATTTTTGTTATTCTTCAGTTCTGGGGAGTGGCAGCAGAAAAAAATCAAAAAAGTTTATTTTCCTATATGTTTTTTGGACCACCCTAATATGTATGTATATATCTCCAAAGACAAGGTGTATTTATACAAGGTGGTCTTGAAAGATCAGCTCAAGGCGAATTTATACAAGGTGGTGTTACTTGCGAATATAGGTTTTCGCCACGGTACGTCTAGAAATCAAACCCTATATACGTACATATGTATAAAAAAAATAAATGCAATAACATATTTTATAGCAGTTTAACAAGGGAAAACGGCAATGGGAATAGTTGCGAATATTTGCGTCTCTTTCAAGGTGTCAATCATTACAATTAAATCGGTAATCGTCGGAATAGTTTTCGATTTAACATGCCATCTCTAATGACAGCTCCGATTATAAACAACTCTTGACATTTTGTTCAAGAATCAGCTGTGGCTGTAATTAATTACGCTGGTGTCCATTGTCCGCATACAAGTTTCATTTACATAAATATAAAGTAAATTGGAATTGTTAAAATTCAATTCTTGTTGAGCATGAATGACGTAAAACGTTTAAAAGACCAGCAACGCGATAAACATCCCGGTTTCGACTCATACCTCAATTGCATGACACGGGCTCTATTCACCGGTCTGGCGTCATTTTGTTTAAGTAAGTAAAACGGCGCCTAATTGCATAATTTAGATCTAGCCCTAATATACGTATTTCTCATTCGCTAATTTAGCATTTTCTGGCTGTTATTTTTCACAAAAACTGCTGCGTACGAAAATTCACTACCCCCTCCAATACAGCGTTTTACTCTCGGCTATAGTGGCCACTGGTGTGTCATATACCACAACCACGACGCGCACTAAAGCCTGTCAAGCAGCTTGGATGGCAGCCGAAGATAAACATACTGTACTAAAGGAGGATAAATATTAAATAGGAGATTATTACATTAAGCAAACTAATAAATAAATATTTAGTTATAATACCGAAATGTGGCTCAGAAATGTTGCGAAATCTGCATGGCGCGGAAACTTTACTATCTGCCAAAGCTCACAAATTGGGGCACTAGGAAAAGAATACTGCATATTAGGCAATTTTAAGAGCCATCACATGTTAGCGCGGTGGAAATATATGCAGCACAAAGGTGTAAAAGGTATACGCAACAAAAAAAGTACTTTTGAGACTCTTTCAAACGAGGAAAGCGAATCGGACATAAATATGTCCAAATGTGAAGATATTAATAACGAACCACTCAACTTGGACGATCGGTAAATTAATCATCTGAACTTAAAGTATATCGTCGCTCGAATAAAGAAACAGTGTAAATGCCACATACACTATTATTCGATAATTGCACCATTGGATAGACAATCCTTTAATCTATTAGAAAAATCTTTAGTTTTCTTAAATATCACTTTGGTTCACTAATTTATTCCCGAAAAACGAAATTGTATTTGCATGGTTTGTAATGGTTTATAAAAACTTCCAAGTCGTTTTTCTCAAAACTATACTTTTCATGTTACACTATTTCTTTATTCCAGCGACGATATATGCATATATGTTAATACATTTTGAATGGCAGTGAATATTTTATCATTTTATATCATTTCGCACTACATACAATTAGATTTGACGAGTTAAAAAAATATTAGTTTCCCAAAGCTCTTAGCTTACCCTCTGAAATTTTCACAAAAACGAGATTCTGATACAAAAATCCACCTAAGACCTTACTGTCATCGGTGATATTAATGCTGACCTTGTACAATGCTTGACAGAAGAATTTACTATTAAATTGCAAAGTCATAATTAACACCAGTAATGACAGCTAAGTCCCAGATGGGTTCTAACATTACAGAGTAGTTTTTGTGAAAATTGCATATAGAGGGTATTATTCAAATATAACTCTCGTTATGGAAATGCTCCTTTAATTTGTGAAATCAACTTAATTACGTCTCTAAAATGCATATTTAGCGCTTATGAAGAATTAGCCAACAGTGCCATGCACATTTCACCTGGCTCCCTAACTCAAAACGTATTCATTATACAGCCTTATGTAAAATGGGGAAGTGAACGAAACACCCTCACCACGCCTGAGGATCAGTTGGAAGAGGCAAAGGCACTTGTGGACTCCCTGCCAAACTGGCGTGTGGCTCATGCTATCAAAGTACCTCTAGAAACACTACATCGTAAAGCGCTTTTTGGGAGTGGTAAAATTGAAGAGCTCAAAAAACAGTTGCAAGAACATAACACAAAAAAAGCACTATCTTGCCTCTTTATTAGTAAAAGCACACTAAGCTTTGGCCAGAAACGATTTCTGGAAGAAATATTCAAATTGCCGGTGTTGGATCGTTATTCGGTTGTCATTCAAATATTACGTCTACATGCAACCAGTGCGGAAGCCCGTCTCCAAGTAGCCATGGCTGAAATACCGTATATTTGGACGCAAGCCAAGGACGCGAACCCGTCGCTAGCGCGGAAACAAGGCTACTCATTTACAGACACGCAACGTGAAATACTAAGGACAAGGGAGCGCAGGCTAAAACAGGAACTGGAACGGATAAGGGGTCATAGGTATTTTATTGAAAAATTTTTTATTTGATTTGAATTAAATAAGCTGTTTTTTGTAGGAAGTTACTCCGCAACAAACGTAAACAAAAGAATTATCCAGTGATTGCAGTGGTTGGGTACACTAACGCTGGCAAAACGTCATTGATTAAAGCCTTAACACACGAGCAAAGCCTGCAACCGCGTAATCAGCTATTCGCTACGCTTGATGTTACAGCACATGCGGGCATATTGCCATGCAATCTTGAGGTTATTTACATGGACACGGTGGGTTTCATGTCTGATCTACCCACTGGCTTAATGGAGTGTTTTGTGGCAACTCTTGAGGATGCTATGCTGGCAGTGAGTTCCTTTATAGCTATTTTTAAATTATTTACAGCTAAAAATATCGGCATGGTTTTCTTCTTTAATAGGATATCATTTTACACGTACAAGATCTCTCGCACAAATGTAAACAAGCACAACAACAACACGTAATTGCAACATTGGTATCACTTCAAAATTCTATAGCGTCAAACGACCAAATGCCACCCATTATAAACGTTGGAAATAAAATCGACTTGGTATCGCCGGCGCAGGCCCAGCCATCAGAAGACACACATTTAGTGTCAGCGACAAAGGCCACAGGTCTAAAAGAATTGTTATTGGAAATTGAACATAAAGTACTTACAGTGACGGGACGTCGTAAAATGACAATGCGTGTGCGTAATGGTGGTGCCGAGGTGGCATGGTTGTACAAGAATGCTGCGGTAACTGATGTACGCGCCGATGAAGGCAGTGCTGAGCATCTATTAATGACAGTGGTTATTAGTGAACTGACAATGCAGCGATTTATCCGGACATTTCTATCATCCAACCATGAATAGCATAATACCAGGTAATACATACAATAAAGTTATTGTGATTAACAAATATAAATATATTTATTTGTAATTTCGACAAATGAATTTTATGTAAAAGATATTTTCAGGTTTAAAGATCATATATTATAATATTATGTATGTACATAAGTATATATAGTACATATGTATGTATATGTACGTATGTATTGATGTACTTTTTATTAAGTTTGTGCTTTAAAAACAAAAACAAAAATAATGGCTAAAATTATAGTGTATTTGCTAAGTGTTTTAAATACAATGGTAGCCAAGGCTAAATACAATGTGATTTCTCCTACTAAAAATATAAGGAATACATATTCATTTGTCCATTTCTCCTTGTACGCGTTGAAGTTAATTATACAATTTTAAAATCTCTCATAATAACAATTTTAAGTTAACTGAAAATATAACAAGCATAGTATAAATATTTTACGATTAGTGTTCGTAGAAGTGGACATATTAAAAATAACGAAGGCAATACTCTTTGATATTCCAAGTGCTGCTACAAACTACTCAATTCACCTTTGACTCAACAACTTTTCACTGGGACCCGACGACGCAGCAACACAAATTACACTTCGTGCAAGGTAATAAAAGCTGGAAAATTACCTTTCATATCCTCCTATTTTGAAATGGGGTTACTTGAAAGAGACGATTAAGTAATGAGAAACCTCATCGCTTTTCCGTTTTTAGAGACGGTCATAGAGACGGTCTCAACATCGCCCTTGCAGCCTTAACACCAGCACAAGCGGGGGATCCACTTGGTTAACTAGTTTTTGCAAAATATACATCATCACATTTTTTTAAGCTGTGACAAAACCAGATCTATCTTACTCGATACAAAAAATACTAAGTATATACATATGTACTTGGTAGAGGTACTCGAGTACTATACAGTGTGGGGACGAATAACTGTTACCCAGGTTTGATGAAAAATTAAAGGGTCGTTTCCACAAATTTTACTTCAACTTTATTTACTAGTTTTTAAATTTTAACCTGTTTGTTAAACACTTTAAGAGAAAAGAGCAAGCGGCACGCAAGTCTTCGTCAGTTAGTTTATTCCATATCTTCTGTAACCATACGTTAATTTCCTCCATTTTGAGTCTTTTATACTCCACTTTTTATCCAACATAAGGTCTCATACTCAGAAATCGAGTAGACTCAGAACTGATGACTAGGGCGGCCATTCATTCGACCAATCTTTTTTTTTTTTGTCTTTTTTTATACAAAGTCCAAAAAAATAAACCTGAAAAAGACTTGTATGCCGCATGTACTTATCTCCCAAAGTTTTCACTGCACTAGTTAATATAAAGTTTAAATCTGTGAAAATTAACAATAAAATACTGTTTTCGTAAATTCTATAAAGGACTCTTTTCTATTTTTCAAAAAAAACATGGGTAACAGTTATTCGTCGCCACGCTGTATACACTCCGTTGCATAATTATAAAGCCAGTACAAAAGTCTTTGCAACAGCCGTCAAACTGTCTTCTGTGACTTTTGCATGGTAAGAGCTCTCTTAAAATAGAGTGATAAATTTTTTAATAATCATAACCTAATTTAAAAGACATCAAAAAAATCTAAAAATTACTTGTTGCAAAACTATACACCCAAAAACAGAAACCCCAATAAAATGAGTAAAACATCAAATATGTCCTTCTAATACTCTATTTGTGCTTCATTGACTTTATTTAACTGAAGTATGGGCTTCCTTATTAACCGACTTCAAATAGAGGAGAAGGTTATCAATTCGTCGGAATATGTTTTTTTTATGTATGTTATGTAGACTTAATGTCTTCGGTAATGCAGGATCCTGCTTATGCCACCCTTGCAAAATCGCCAATTTAAGCCAAATAACCTTTTCAAATTTGCGATTATCAGCATAGACTTTCTTTGGCAGTATTCCTCATCCACGAGAGCACAAGGGTGCGAATATTGTTGAAGCTCTTACCGTGCAAAATTCATAGAAGAAAGTTGTGACCTATCTTAATTGTGACGGCTATTTCAAAGACATATGCACTGGACTTATAATTATGCAACGAAGTGTATTTATACATCTAAGCACTGGTACCAGAATCTCACTAATGACGATACGTACTATGTAAAACTTATATCATATGGCATTGCATTGCTATACCATATACATATGTATGTAACTTATACATGTGTACATAAATACTTAATAAAATCATTCATGCGCCTCATATGCCCATAAGGATCGCAGAAAAAGTTGAAGAGTACTTGAAATTATTACTGAAACAAATACCAATGGTATGTACCAGGGTTGTTGCGAATATTATTCCGAAATAAAAGTTCTTTCGGATAATAAACAAACCGCCTGTCCAAATTAAACAAATTCGGTATCATATGAAAGAGGAATGAAATAGCTTTTAAACAAAAATAACGAACGACCTTAATTTATATTTTTTTTTATAATTTAATACTAAAGAAATGCATATACCTGACACAAGGTTTGTTCTATGGTAAATAATTAACATTTTTTATTGAAATATTTTTCAATACGTGGCTTTCCTCGTTTAGACACTTCAGTTATAAAGATATTAAAGTTCTCTTTCATTTGATACGAAACTTGTTTAATTTGGATAAGCGGCTTGTTTATTATCCGGAAAGGACTTTTATTTTGGAATAATATTAGAAACAACCCTGGTATGTACATACATATGTATGTATGTATGTAAATACTCTATTATTAAAGGCCGATGGAATGTAAGATGTAAAGGATTAATGATAAGCTAAACATATACATATTTTGTTGGCGAATAAATGCATTAAGTTTTTTGTGTTTAACGATTATTCGGAAACAGAGTTGTGCAAATTTCTTGTTTGAGCGTTTTTATGGCCGACTGGACTTTTTGAAATGTCAAAGCGTTTCTATCCATTAGTGTACGAATTAATATGTATGTATTTTACGATTTTTCTTCAGCTCTGAAAATTCTAAACTTTTGTTGATGCTATCCATTTGCTTATTTCTTTTCAGTTACTTAAGGAATGCCAAATAACAATTTTCTGCTAAGTTAACGTATTTAATAAACTCGTTTTGACAAAATGTTGTAGTTCAAAAAAATATCCCAACTATGCCTCTAAAATGCATGTAGCGCGGATGACTTCCTTATTTGAAATTAATTCAATGCCACAGATTTGGGACCGAGCCTTCCTATGGATTCCGTGTCTCCTTAAATTATTCTATTTCTTTGGTCCATCGTTGCTTATACATACGTTGTATATCAAGCTTTTACTGGCTGAATATTTTCTGCGCCCAATTATGACCAATTTACCATTCAGGACATTTATTTAGGCATATAGGGATACTAACTTCTACTTTGTGCTCAAGAAAATATTCTAATTGAACTAAACGAATAAGTCGATTATTAAGCGTAGTATTGGCAAAATGAAAACTAACATAAAAAAAACAAAAGCGACATGACAATTCTTGGCCTGTGCCACCAGCGTACTTCTGCTACGTTGTTTTAATAGTTATAACTTAGAAGGCACGGAGTTTATTTGTTCGCTCGTTGCTCTATAGTATTGTTGAAATGGCAATAACTGACAGTAGCACAATAGTTCTGCTTCCAATGATCTTAACGGTTTACCAGAAGAATGCTGCAGCATGCCATTTTCCTTATTCTTAAGCAGATATCCGGCTTGTTGAAATGAGTACAATGCGATATTTAAATTATCCAGGGCCAGACAATAAGGATGTACATTCCTGGCATGCTGTTGTTGTAGAAGTTTCTCTATACGCTGCTGCATGTGTATAAGTATATCCTTTGTGCTAAATTCATTGGAAATTTCACTGATGGAAGGTGATGCCAAACTAGGGGTGGGAAACTATTGAAAATGTAGATACAAAAATGTTTTTATTTGTTAGCAAAATTTTAATATTTGGTTCCAGTTACCTCATTAACGGTTACTGCTAGTTGGTAGTATACGCATAGAAAAGGCGCTAACGAGGACAGTATAACGTTAGTAGTTTCGTTTTCGTTAAAGGAGATTTGACCGTTATTGGATTCTATTGTCAGCATGCCATGTTTCGATAGTAAGCTGAGATTTCGCTCGAATTCCTATGAGGGTAATAAAAAATTAAACATTATTCAAGGAAAAAAACAATAGTGCGCCTGGGCCACACTAAGGAAGTGAAACTTTTCTACAATCATTTCTTTATAATTTCTAATTGCAGACGGTCTAATTTTGATGTAATGACTATGGTACTTAATTGGGAATATTTTATTGGTTTAAAATTATTGTGCCATCGACTCGCCAAAAGCTAGCGAGTGGCGAAACGAACCAAATCACTGAGATACAACCAAACACACCATCGTTTGTCGCAGCTAGCTAACTTTGTTGTTGCTTTCGTCGCATACAAAAATTTTTCTTTAAGCGAGCTTAAGTCAAACTCAGCGAGCAGAGAAGTGGCGAATCGAAAGCGTCTTATATATATAACAGTAATTGAGAGTTAACATTATTTTTATTGTATGATGTCATACGTATCTCACCGCCGCTGGAGATTCACCACGGAAATTCATATAACGATCAATGTAATTTTCCGTTTTCCATACATTTTTTATTTGGACTAGCGTGGTGAATCTCCACTGGTTATGGCAAGCGGCATACTTGTATTTTATTCATATTCCATACGTTTATGATAGCCGATGCATGCATTTATGAAAAAAAAATCTGATTTCCCCGACTACTTGGAAAATACAGCCTCAGTAGTAATGCGTTATCTTATTTTAGATTCTTTTCGTCGATTATTTATAGTTAACTGACATTTTTTATTTAGTAATCCGATCATAGGCTGATCTCGTGAAAAATTTACATTGATTTTCCCCCAATTCTGAGATGATAACTATAATTACAATTTGCTTTCTGTTTTCCATACTATGTATGTACATTAAGCAACACATATTCACATTACTCTGGCAGTGTCCCGACAAACAATTTGTACAAATTTTTCAATAGAAGTTCGCTGTAATGTACCAATCGTGTGACTTGTCGCCCAACTTTTTATTTTGTAAAAAATGTACAAATCTGTACAAATTTACCAGTCGTATGACACTGCCTTTAAACTCGATCTCAAACTGAATACTTAGTCATTATCTTAGCTGCGTAGCTTTTCTATATCCAAATTCAACGATTATATAAAAGGCCATAAAGAGAGAGAGAGAGAGAGGGAGAAGAAATAGAGAAGCACATTCGTTACATCTCAAGTGTCACACTTTTTCGTGACAATTTTGAAAGAAATTTCACTCCAAAAATAAATATGTAAATGTTTCCATATGTTGGCCGTAAGCCGTTTTATAAACTCTCGCAATCACTCACCTCCATGTCCCTGTTGGATTCAATTATAAATTCATGCTTGAAAATATCATCAAGTGTAGCGACACGTTCCGACAAGCTTGCTACAACCGTAGAATAGCTGCTGGTAAGCGCTTGGCTTGCCTTGTCTGTGTGACTTTGCTGCTCTTTCCGCAATTGAAGTGCAGCAAGTATAAGATATGACGGGCGCGCAAGCCAAAACATGCAGGGATTTATATACAGCTGTAATGTTAGAGCCGGCACAGCAACAGCCATGATCTGCGGCAGTAGCGCATGTGCCTTCAGTCTTTTGGTATCGATCTCCTGTGCCAGCTGCGCTGCGGCGACCTGCGTAAATTGCAGTCGTTCATTGTGAAAATGTACAATATTCGAATGTATTTCAACGGTTTCGACTATTTCCTCTTGGAGACGATTCAAGTCGGTGGCAACATGAGCTCCCAACTCCTCGAACAAATACTTCAGCTCGCTAATACCGCACGCTAACTTATCAATGTTAACCGAATGTTCTGCGTATAATTGACTAGCATAGTAGAGACTTAGCAGGTTAAACGTACTAATAACGATGCGCCGTTGCTGTTGATAAATTACCTGTCAAGTTGCAAAAATAAAAATTCATATTGACATGAAGCTGGAAGTAGATGGCTGTTCAAACAGTAAGCACACAAACCTCGTTAGCCAGCTTCTTTATCAAATCTAACTCGCACTTGTCCAACTTTTGCAAATGCGCACCCACGGCAGCCCGTTGCATACGATCTGCTCCCGTATGTCCAAAGAATTCACGCACAGAAATCGGTGCGCCGAAATCCAGGTACATTTTGCCAAAACGTTCATCGATAATCTTCAACGCCTTGAAGAAGCCCTTAGTTGTCTCTTTTGGCTTTGGCACACCCAAAAGTTCGTAGACGAACAATTGTTCCTCGAGTACGCGTTCATAGGATATACTGACTGGCACAATGGTAACATCTGGCACCTCCCCGGTGAAGTAGGGAAGCAATGCCATTGAGAGCAATCCAATCTTCGGCACAAGTGCCTTGAAGTTGCGACTGCGCGTTCCTTCTATAAAAAACTCAACACCGATGTGATAAACGGAGATCAATGAATACATATATTCGCGAAAGATGTCCCAGTAAAGTTCGTCATTTGAGAAGGAGCGACGCATAAAGAAAGCACCGGTTTTACGCAGCATTGTGCCCATGCCAAACATGGCATGAAAGTCTAAATATGCATTAGAAACATAAAAAATTTCGATGTTTATGCCATTAAAAATGCAGCTTACTCACCCATTCCGGCCGCTATTCCAGGTATTTCAATGTCGTAATAGAAGCAAATGTATGACATTAGCACAAAATCCATATAGCTACGATGGCTGGGCAAATAGCATACAGGATTACGACCCAACTGTTCACGAACTGTTCGAATACTTTTAGAATTCACGTAAATTCCCGAGAGGATGCGTTTTGAAATCGCCGTTATGGCCATACCGCACCAGCGTATAATCGGCAAGTTACGCTCCAGGCCGATTTCATCGATGATCTCCTTCACTTGCTTTTCGATCTGCTTCGCTGGACAATTATTCGCTTGCGCGTAATGCTCGATAATTTTTCGCACTTTTTCGCTGCGAAAAACATGTCGTTTTAATGTTTGTGGATTCAAGTACCGCTCAAACTCATTGGCCACTTGGGGTTTGTACTCCTTGGTCATTACCGGTTCTTTGCCGCTGGCGATGATATTTTCAAAATCCTCCATATAACTGGTAGCACCGGTTGATGGAAAAGTGGATGGCACCAACCCAGGCGTTAGTGGGTGAGCAAATGATGGGGATGACCCCGTCTTCATTTTGACTTATTTTGGCTGAAAAAAAACCATTTATTGAATAAGAACCGGAAAAAATATTGGGCTTGGTTAACAATTCGAATATGATTGGAAAACCAATCTTTAATAGATTAGTATTCGATTCGAGAACCAGGCCATTCTCCAGCAAATCGGAACCTTTGTTATCTAATGTATTATCACTTCGTTATGATTTCGAAATCCAGTCCATTATCGAATTAAAATTTTAATGAGAGGGAGTAATTAGCGCAGTTAAGGATTTTGTGCATTAGCTCCTGCATTTGCATATTCGTTGCATTGTAAATTTACAACAGTAAAAGGAGCACGGTTGCCACGGCAGCAAGCATAAAATTTGCAAATGCAATTCCACTTGCAAATCCAAGACCATTTCCACAACATTATGAACAGCCCTATAGTCTTACACTCCCCTCCGGGAATGAGCTGGATTTCACTTCCCCTCTAGTTACTATGGTTTTAATTTTTTTCGAACCCATCTGGAGTGTATTTCCAATATACCGAGCCCCAACCGCTAAAAAGATGTAAGCAACTTTTTTTTTTTTTAATTTTCTATTTGATGCAGTATTAGATACATTTCTGCATCAAAAATACTAAATACAAAAATACTATGGAAAACTAAGGTTTGTTATGAGTTCGTTCTCAGTTCGGTATGCGAAGCCCACTTTCGAACGTTCGCAAACTGTTTAAAGGGCAGTTAAATACCCACATACTTATATATACATACATACATATGTATTTATATTCTCATCCAAATGGAAAAAGACGTAACTAATATCGCCACGTAAAATGCAAAATGCCTTAACTAATAACATAGTTCTTGTGTGTGAAGGGCCATTGTGTTGTTCATGTTTTATAATCAAATTTAATGATTACACCTTTTGAACTCAACTTCAACATTTTTCGGAAATGTGTATACAGTCAGCGTTAAAAATATGCATATCCTGACTGACGTTTTGACGAAAAGGCCCATTTTTGTGTTCTCGGGCTGTTGAGAGGCACTTTGAGAGAGTAATTTTGGTTTCTCACTAGCGAGTAGTTATAAAAATTCAAATTTTAACTAATAAATGCATATCGTTATCTTAATTCCCAAAGGCCCTAACAAACACTTTTTTCGAAACCGCATTTATCACAGATTTTGTAGCATGAAAACGACTTTTTTCTATATCTTTATTGCAGTATTACGAGAATAAGAAGCATATATGTACATATATATATGCATTTCTTTCATACGATGCGGGCCCTACTAACAATTTGTACACTTATGTTGATTTTATGCGAACGCCTATCCTTTAAATTCTGAATCCAGGAACTCAATTTTTGCAGTTCAAGTCCAGCTGTTCGGCCTATATTATCTATGTATTAAATGCTTCAGGATTTTTTTTTAAACAAAAGCAGCATAATACTCGTAAAACAATTCAAAGCGCCTTCTTTCTTTTCGCCGATTCAGATATGATCAGTCCGCGAAATGAGACTAAAAAGGACTTTATTTGGCTGCTACCTACACTGAGGGAAAAAAAATATTAAAATCAAATAGAAACGTAATTGATCTTACTATAAACGTCAACGAAAGTACTGTATATTGGTGAATATTCAATTCAATTACGCGCATATTAAAATGGCCGCGTTCGTTATGAAAAAGCATCCGTGAAGTGAATAATCAAGACAAAAACTAAAAAAAAAAAAAATTGAATTTGCATGTTACCTGCAGCGGAATTCGAACTTTGACCATTGCTGGATATCAACAAATTGTGGCATGCATCTTTGCGCACTCAACTACACCCAGGCATATAAATTTGCTTTCAAATGTTGAATATCCATCAACACCACAGCACGCGATTTGTACGGATAAACATGTACTATGTATGAATGGGTGTGTTGTCACCGCTCTCAGAGCGGCGCTGCTGCATGCTTGGGGTGTGTATGTACACTCATATATATACTCAGATGTCAAGAATGATAGAATACAAGATTGCGCCGATCAGAGAGGATTTTTGAGAATAACTTTTGTTTGACGTAACACTGGTGCGATTGCGAGAGAGAAATGCCAAAACGTGAGCAAGAATGGAAGAAGAAGAAAAAATGTTGCAAAGAAAACGTAAACAAGTTGCACAAGTGACGTCATGCAAACAACGATTGTGTCAAATTCGTTAAGAGAGGAATAGCGGTCCGAGATCGGCGCAACCTGTGTATTCTCTCAATCGTGCTCAGATGTGATACGTGCGTAATAAATTTTGTATGAAAATATTATTTTTAAATTCGAACATTTTTAAACGATAATCAAATATAAAGTATTCATTTGTACTATACATTATTTCCCTCAGTATATAAGTCCAGTTTTTTGAATGAAAAGAATTGCGAAATTGAAGTGAAGAGGGATGTATTTTGAACTGTAAAATCCCCAGATCAACCTTTTCTCTTATAGTAGGCGCCATAGACGGTGCGTCTGACTCACGAGTCATCTGTGTACGTGTTGACTCGCCTTTCGACTACACACAGTTGAGTCATTCCGAGTCATGCCAGAATAATGTCGGTGTAACTAACATATATTTATTTTTACCAACACATCCAAACCGACTCTCGAGTCAGACGCACTGTGTATGTCGCCTATAACACATATTGTTCATCTCTGACGATAAATGATCTGAAAAGTTACTTTTAAAAGATTTAATTCGAAAACAATACAAATAGTTTAAAACAAGTATTTTTTTTTTAAATTCATGACACTAAAACTTGTTACGGGCATTTTCTTCTGTTTTAGATCATTTTTAATGATTATTAAGAGCATTTTGTAATTTGTTATGGTAATTTTCTTCTAGTTCTCTTAGGTCACCAAAATCGGAGCTTGATAACCACACTGCTTACACTTTTGATATCTTTGCAAATAATTCAACATTCATTGCAAAATCATCTTTGTTTGGAGAATTTCTATTCTAAATATTTATCGATTTCATCACTTAAAACTAAGAAATTTTAAATTGGTTGAAACGAAATCATACTTGCTCAGAACGTACATCAAATAATCGTCATTTTGTAGCTCTTCGGTTAGTTTTCCAGTTGGTATATTGGTGTTAATAAACCTTAATGAACATGAAA